TCATTCGCTTAACCTATTACAGATCCACCCAATAGTAGTCTTGCCTAGACCACACTGGACTAGTTTGCTGGCAAGAAGGTCATGGGGGACTTTGTCAAAGGCTTTTCTGATATCAAGATATTAGGCTTGGGTAACCACGGAAAAATTTGTTTCTAAACTCGTTTTGTTTTTAGGGGTCCATCGCGTTTCGTTTTTTAAAAGAATTCCGAAATTTTCCTTTTAAAAATTTCGAAATTTACGAAATTTCGTATAATTACGAATCGATTCGTTAATGGCGGACGCGATTGCGCAATATGCTAAAAAAACCTCCAAATGGGACAGGGGGAACTTCTGAAGCTTCCCTCTCCCTCTGCTGTTGACTGTTGGTGTGATAAAACTAACAACAACTATAAAACTTGCACCAGACATGCCAAAATAATAACGAAATAATTACGAAATAATTACGAAACAATTACGAAATAAATTGAAAAAATTGTTTTGAATCTCACTTTATAACAACTCCAGTACAAGTGCACTTTACAGCCTTTACCACACTGGAAGGAATAGGTAGTTTCAAGGGGCGGGAACATTGGGATCCAGAGACAGGTAACCACAACTATAACCAAACGTCTGTTATTGAGATAACAAGTGCTGGAAATGGAGGCAACTTCCCCGGGGGGGGTGGGTCTGCGGGTGGGGGGGCCGCCATAGAGGTGGTGACAGGTAGAGGGAGATACGGGAAAGGGAGAATAAAACATTCATCTTGGCTCAAAATTTATAACAACAGATTGACAACCGCCAAAAATGGTAAGCATCATAGACAAAATCAAATTCGGCCCAAAATTTGCAGCAGAACATTGGCAATTCCAAAAATCAATGCTACTATCCGGCCCGAAATCAACAAAAATAGATTGGCGATTCCAAAACTCTCTCCTGACAAGATACAACTGAGGTGCCAGGACGGTGGCCCCTCCAGGCTAAAGGTGGTGCTGTTCAATGCCAGGTCGGTAAACGGAAAAACTTCCATCATCCAAGATCTAATCCAAGAAGAACGAGCCGACCTGGCTTGTATAACAGAAACCTGGCTGGACGAGGGGGGAGGGGTTAATCTCTCCCAACTCTGTCCACCAGGCTATTCTGTTCAGCACCAACCAAGGCTTGGAGGGCGGGGAGGCGGAGTCGCAGTAGTCTATAAGGACTTTATTCCACTGATCAGGCGTCCCATCCCACAATCATCTTCCTTCGAGTGTGCCGGCTTTAGGATAGGTGACCGGGACAGGATAGGGATTCTATTAGTGTACCGACCACCCCGCTGCACTACAGTCTCCTTACCTGAGCTAGCAGGAGTGGTCTCGGACATGGCGTTGAGCTCCCAACGGCTTTTAGTCCTGGGAGATTTCAATGTCCATGCTGAGGCCTCTCTTTCCGGTGCGGCTCAGGACTTCATGGCCGCCATGGCAACCATGGGCCTGTCCCAGCTATATCTGGTCCCACCCCCCCCTGTGCTGGCCAAACCCGGCCCACAAAAAAAAAAAAACCTGTCCCAGCTAATATCTGGTCCCACCCATAGTGCCGGACACACCTTAGATTTGGTCTTCACCCAGGGATGGGATGAGGGTGACGGGATGGAGGAGCCGACCATCGCTCCTTTGCCATGGACCGATCACCACCTGATCAGTTTTAGACTAACTGTGCCTTCCAACCTTCGCAGGGGTGGGGGACCCATTAGAATGGTCCGCCCCAGGAGACTTATGGATCCAGATGGTTTCCTGACGGCCCTTGGGGATTTTTCCACCTCCTTGGCTAGCGACACTGTCGACGCTCTGGTCTCTGGCTGGAATAGTGAGCTGACCAGGGCAATCGACACTATCGCTCTGGAACGCCCCCTCTCGAGTAACCGAGCTAAACCAGCCTCTTGGTTTACTGAGGAGCTGGCAGCAATGAAGCGAAAGAAGAGGAGGTTAGAGTGCGTGTGGCGCCTGAATCCCACCAATCCAGCCCAAACACATCTGAATGCCTTCCTAAGGTCCTACGGTGTGGCAATAGCGGCGGCTCAGAAAACATTCATCACAGCCAATATTGCATCCGCGAAGAATCGTCCAGCGGAGCTTTTCCGAGTTGTCAGAGGCCTGTTAAATCCGCCAAAAAGCGAGGCCTCGGATAACTCGGTGGCTCGCTGTGAAGCATTTGCTCGATCCTTCGCGGATAAAATTGAGCGGATTCGGTCAGGTTTTGACGTCACATTAACGGCAGTCTCTGGGGATGTAACGAGAGCATCTGCTTGTCCAGTTTTGTTGGATTCGTTTCAATTGGTTCAGCTTGAGGATGTGGACAGGATCCTTGGAGAGGTGCGACCCACCACATGCATCCTAGACCCCTGCCCTTCCTGGCTGATCAAGGAAGCCAGAGGGGGTTTGGCAGGGTGGGTGAAGGTGATGGTTAATACCTCCTTACAGGAAGGAAAATTTCCAGCGAGCTTAAAACAAGCTATTATAAAACCGCTGTTGAAGAAACCATCACTGGATCCCACCCAATTCGACAACTATCGGCCAGTTTCCAATCTCCCCTATTTGGGCAAAGTCATGGAACGTGTGGTGGCAACACAACTCCAGGGGTTTCTGGTAGACACTGATTATCTAGACCCGGCACAGTCTGGCTTTAGGCCGGGACATGGAACTGAGACAGCCTTGGTAGATGATCTACGCAGGGAGCTAGACAGGGGGAGTGTGTCCCTGTTAGTTCTGCTGGACCTCTCAGCGGCCTTCGATACTGTCGATCACGGTATCCTTCTGGGCGCCTCATGGACATGGGGCTCGGAGGCACTGCTCTGTGGTGGCTCCGATCCTTCCTTGAGGGACGATCCCAGAAGGTGTTACTGGGTGACACCTGTTCGGCCCCACAACCATTGTTGTGTGGAGTCCCACAGGTTCAATTCTGTCCCCGATGTTATTTAACATCTACATGAAGCCGCTGGGAGAGATCATTCGGAGTTTCGGACTAAGATGTTATCTCTATGCAGATGATGTCCAAATCTGTCACTCCTTTCCACCTGTCACCAAGGAGGCTGTCCAGACCTTGAACCGGTGTTTAGCCGCTGTATCGGACTGGATGAGAGCTAACAAATTGAAATTGAATCCAGACAAGACAGAGGTCCTACTGGTCAGTCGAAGGCCGAACAGGGTATAGGGTTACAGCCTGTGTTAGATGGGGTTACACTCCCCCTGAAGACGCAGGTTCGCAGCTTGGGAGTGATCCTGGACTCATCGCTGAGCCTGGAACCCCAGGTCTCAGCGGTGGCCGGGAGAGCTTTTGCACAATTAAAACTTGTGCGCCAGCTGCGCCCGTACCTTGGGAAGTCGGATCTGGCCACAGTGGTCCACGCTCTTGTCACATCCCGGTTGGATTACTGCAACGCACTCTACGTGGGGTTGCCTTTGAAGACTGCTCGGAAACTTCAACTAGTCCAGCGAGAAGCAGCCAGATTGCTCACCGGAGCGGCGTGCAGGGAGCATACCACCCCGCTGTTGCGTCAGCTCCACTGGCTGCCGATCCAATTCCGAGCACAATTCAAAGTGCTGGTTTTGACCTACAAAACCCTATACGGTTCCGGCCCAGTATATCTGTCCGAACGGATCTCCCTCTATGTCCCACCTCGAAGTTTAAGATCTTCTGGGGAGGCCCTGCTCTCGACCCCGCCACTCTCACAAGTGAGGTTGGCGGGGACGAGGAGCAGGGCCTTCTCAGTGGTGGCCCCTCACCTGTGGAACTCACTCCCCGGGGAGATTAGATCGGCATCCTCCCTCTTATCATTCAGGAAAAAACTGAAGACCTGGATGTGGGACCAATGTGATATAGGCATCGAATTGTGCCTTCGCTTGTAAGCCGCCCTGAGTCCCCCCTCGGGGGTGAGAAGGGCGGGGTAGAAGTAATTGAAATAAATAAATAAATAAATAATTTACTCCTCACACTATTCCTGCATGGCTCAATATTGGATCGTAAGCTAATTTAAATACGAATTAATAACGAATTACGAAATTAACGAGCGAAACCGCTCAAGCCTACAAGATATACTACATCTACAGCATTCCCTGTTATCTACCAAGCTTGTAATTCTATCAAAAGAAGATGGATGGATGGACAGACAGACAGACAGACAGACAGACAGACAGATATTATTATTATTCCGTCAACTCTTTTTGGGAAAATGCCCCAAATAAAAAGCCGGAGGGGTCCAACCGACTCACATTCTTCCAAAAAGGTGCCCTTGTATCCGTCCAGCCCTTCATCCTGGAAAATCTTGGCCAGTACACATTTATTAAACTTCATGGCTACAGAAGTCCCTGCAAAGAGCGAAAGCCAGAGGAGCCAAGGAATCCAAGCAGCCATGGCAGCCTTTCCTCCAGCCTCCAGCTCTGGCACAGGACCTCTCCGGCTGGGCATTTTAAAGGGCCCTCCCCTAAACTACAAGCCCTGGGATTCTGCAGGAGGCAGGCACCGGATTTCCAGTGGGATGCACACTCCTTGCCTACACACTTGGCTCTAGTGTGATACCAGCTTGAAATGCAAAAGGCTCAAAGGTCCCTGAAGACCAAGAGTGAAACACTTATGCATATTATGTCTTGGCTTAATTGCCACAACATTCAACGTAAAGGAATCCAGTAGAAGTTACACAGCATACAGTTATCTCAACCAAACATTATAAGTTGAATGTTGTGGCCATTAAGCCAAGACATAATATGCATAAGTGTTTCACTCTTGGTCTTCAGGGACCTTTGAGCCTTTTGCATTTCAAGCTGGTATCACACTAGAGCCAAGTGTGTAGGCAAGGAGTGTGCATCCCACTGGAAATCCGGTGCCTGCCTCCTGCAGAATACCAGGGCTTGTAGTTTAGGGGAGGGCCCTTTAAAATGCCCAGCCGGAGAGGTCCTGTGCCAGAGCTGGAGGCTGGAGGAGAGGCTGCCATGGCTGCTTGGATTCCTTGGCTCCTCTGCCTTTCGCTCTTTGCAGGGACTTCTGTAGCCATGACGTTTCATAAATGTCCACTGGCCAAGATTCTCCTGGATGGAGGGCTGGACGGATACAACGGCATCTTTTTGGAAGACTGTGAGTCCTCCGGCTTTTTATTTTGGAGCAATTTCCCAAAAAGAGTTGACGAAATAATTCTATCTATCTATCTATCTATCTATCTATCTATCTATCTATCTATCTATCTATCTATCTATCTATCTGGGTTGTTGTAGGTTTTTTCAGGCTATATGGCCATGGTCCAGAGGCATTCTCTCCTGACGTTTCTCCTGCATCTATGGCAAGCATCCTCAGAGGTAGTGAGGTCTGTTGGAACTAGGAAAAAGGGTTTATATATCTGTGGAATGGCCAGGGTGGGACAAAGGGTGCAGGCGAAACGTCAGGAGAGAATGCCTCTAGACCAGGGGTCTTCAAACTTTTTAAACAGAGGGCCAGGAATATGTGAGAGGAAGCCACAGGGAGGTTTATATATCTGTGGAATGGCCAGGGTGGGACAAAGGATGCAGGCGAAACGTCAGGAGAGAATGCCTCTAGACCAGGGGTCCTCAAACTTTTTAAACAGAGGGCCAGGTCACAGTCCCTCAAACTGTTGGTGGGCTGGATTATCATTTGAAAAAAACATGGATGAATTCCTCTGCACACTGCACATATCTTATTTGTAGTTCAAAAACACTTAAAAACAATACAATAATTGAAATGGAGAACAATTTGAATACATATAAAGGTATTAGTATTTCAGTGGGAAGGGTGGGCCTGCTTTTGGCTGATGAAATAGGATTGTTGTTGTTGTGTTCTTTCAAGTTGTTTCAGACTTCGGTTGACCCTGAGCGAGGGCCGGGTAAATGACCTTGGAGGGCCGTATCCGGCCCCCGGGCCGTAGTTTGAGGACCCTTGCTCTAGACCATGGCCATATAGGCCAAAAAAACCTACAACAACCCACCACTTGAACTGCCATTGGGTGTCTATGAAATACTGGGACTTGTAGTTTGGAGAAGAAAGCCATAACCCATACCCCTCTGCTTTCATATCCTTCCCTTTCGCTCCCTCCTTTCCTTCTCCTTTCCTTTTTCTTCTTTTTCTCTTTGTTTGTTTGTTTGTTCCTTTCTTTCTTCCCGTCACCTCTTACATTTTCTCCCTTTCTTTCTTTCTTTCATTTCTTCTTCCTTTGCTTTCCCTCATACGCCATATCCCCTCTTTCTGTCCTTTGTCTTCACTTCTTTTCTTATCTTCCCTCCTTTTTGTCATTTCTTCTTTTCTCTTCCTGTCCTCTTTCTTTCCTTCCCTCATACTTTCCCCTTTCTCTTTTTTCTTCTTTTACAGTCTTCCTCCTTTTTCATTTCTTTCTTTGTTTTCCTGTTCTTTTCTCCCTTCTCTGATATACTTTCTCCCTCTCTCTTATCTTCCTTTTGTTATCGGGGACCCCCAACTCAAACAACCTTCCAGTAATTTACAACTTTGGGAGCACATCAGAAGAAATATTGCTATATAAGAGACCTTCTAACATTCCAAAAATTGTGGCAGACCAGATGTAGGAGCTCAGCCGACTGGGGTTGTCACACTGCCTTCAGAGCAGGACCCTTCAGAGATTGCCATGTTGGGTTTTAATGTAGATTCTCAGGGGATTGTGAATGAAGAAGAGGGCACAGAACAAACTGCAGAGCAAAGGGGGTTGGAAGACTCTGGGATTGTTAGTTCTCAAGATAGAATGGTTTCCAGACAGTGTGATGGGAACCAGCTTGTGCTGATAGATAAGGAAAGTGAAAGGAATGTGTTAACAAGCAACCAGGAGGAATCAACCTTTGATAGACGGGGTCAAATCTGTCAAGATCTCCACCTTCAAGGGGGAGTCCGAAGGTCTGTCAGAATAAGGGAAAAGACGAATTTGAAGGAGAGTTCTCAAGGGAATCGAAATGCATTTTGTGTAGGTCTTTTTGAATAAATATAGGGCTTTCACAGCATTGCCTTCAGTGAGCGCAACGTCAGAATGCATTTTGTGTATGTCTTTTTGAATAAATATAGGGCTTTTACAGCATTGCCTTCAGTGAGCGCAACGTCAGAATACATTTTGTGTATGTCTTTTTGAATAAATATAGGGCTTTTACAGCATTGCCTTCAGTGAGTGCAACGTCAGAATGAATTTTGTGTATGTCTTTTTGAATAAATATAGGGCTTTCACAGCATTCAGTGAGCGCAACGTCGGTTTCTGGTCAAGTCTTGTATGTATGTCATGTCAAGAGTAATGAAATCTCTGCTCAAGACTCATGTTCAAATTGCTGTTGGTGAAAGTTTTCCTGTGTAATTCTTTTGTGGATTTTGGATCTGTGCAACCTTGTTCCCTGGCTTTTCAAGAGACTTTGGACATTTTCCTCTGGGTTTTAAGGACTATGCATTCGTGGATTTTGCTGTGGAATTAAGAATCACCTGTGTTCTCTTTCATGGATTATATTTGCCTACCTGTTGGTATGGATTGTTTTTAGACTTTCTTATTTAATTATTTAGACTTTCTTATTTAATCTGTTGTCTTTTCTGTGTCTTCTTCATTCACTTACCCCTGAGAATCTACATTAAAACCCAACATGCAAATCTCTGAAGGGTCCTGTTCTGAAGGAAATTGAACATACCCATAGTCCTCTTCTTCAGGCACTGGCACAACCCCAGACAGCTGAGTTCCTACATGCAGGTTGTTGTGAATCCAATGTAGTTGCATAGAATCTGTATATTTAATGCCGTACTTTGTGTCTAAATGTTGTTCTGTAAAAGTTCTGATATACCCTCTCACACTGGAAATTGCAATAAAAAGAATGCTGCCCAGAGCTTCCCCTTCAGAGATCTTGGCTATTCATGGGACAAAGATCCAGGACGAAACTTTGATTGTGATCCAATCAATATACATCTTTGGGACTCTTTCTTTGGGACTCTTCGCAGTTAGCAAAGCTTGCCAGGTGTCACTTGGTATCCATGGGACTTTGAAAAACTCCAACTGCTGGAATCTCTTACTCTGCTGTTCTTCTCTCTTTCTCTCCTTCCTTCCTTCCTTCCTTCCTTCCTTCCTTCCTTCCTTTTTCTTTTCAAACCTCCCTCAATAATTCCTCCCTTTCCTTTCTCTTCCTTCAATTATTTTCCTTCCTTCCTTCCTTTTTTAAAATTCTCTTTTTTTGTTTCCTTCCCTTCCCTTCCCCTTGCTCCTTTCTCCAGCTTTGGGAGGGAATTATTTCACAATTCTGCGTTTCCAGTATGAAACGGCAAAATCATGGTTTGCTTTTCGGATTAAAGAAAATTGCAAAAATATTTGTGAATCTCATCAATATCCATCCTTGGAACTCTTTCTCTGGGACTCTTTGCAGTTAGCGAATCTCCCCAGGTGTCTCCAGATATCCAAATTTCTGGTATCTCTTTCTTCCCCTTTCCTTTCTCTTCCTTCAGTTCTTTTTCCTTCCTTCCTTCCTTCCTTCCTTCCTTCCTTCCTTCCTTCCTTCCTTCCTTCCTTCCTTCCTTCTTCTCCCCTTCTCATCGTTGTTTTTGTTTCCTTCCCCTCGCTCCCTTCTCCAGCTTTGGGAGGGAATTATTTCACAAATATGCGTTTCCAGGATGAAATGGCCAAATCATGGTTTGCTTTTCGGATTAAAGAAAATTGCAAAAATATTTGTGAATCTCATCAATATCCATCCTTGGAACTCTTTCTCTGGGACTCTTTGCAGTTAGCGAATCTCCCCGGGTGTCTCCAGATATCCAAATTTCTGGTATCTCTTTCTTCCCCTTTCCTTTCTCTTCCTTCAGTTCTTTTTCCTTCCTTCCTTCCTTCCTTCCTTCCTTCCTTCCTTCCTTCCTTCTTCTCCCCCTTCTCACCCTTGTTTTTGTTTCCTTCCCTTCCCTTCCCCTCGCTCCTTTCTCCAGCTTTGGGAGGGAATTATTTCACAAATATGCGTTTCCAGGATGAAATGGCCAAATCATGGTTTACTTTTTGGATTAAAAAAGTATTTGCAATCCATGGATGAGGCTCCTATGGATACATTGTGCTCTTTGCTTTCAGGGATGTGTATAGCGTATCACTCGAGTGAGTATAATACAGAGTCACGTGCGTACAACGGATATGGACTCTTTCAATTGAATGCTCATTTTTGGTGTCAACTACCTGGTGTAAAATCAGAGAACATCTGCAACCTTTGCTGTTCAAGTAAGTCCTCTGAGAGAAGTTCTCTCTCTTTCTTAAAAGTTTACAATTGCAAATTCAAAGCAGGTAAAAGAGGCAGCACTAAATAAAGAAATGGAATAGATAAAATGGGTGAGACAGGGTTTGGAAAGAGAAAGAATGAGAAGGAAAGAGAAAAAGAAGAGGAAGGAAGGAAGGAAGGAAAGAAAGAAAGAGCGGAGAGAGAGAAAGTGCATAAGGATGTAGGCAAACCCCAACTTCCATCATCACAGGCCAGTTCTCCCCAAAATCCATGAGAGGTTTTTGTGCTCTCTGGAGTTAGGTGCACTGCAAATCCTATCATCCTGGGACAGTCCTGCCCACCCCACCCCCTTTATCTTAAAGTGGTTGTGTTGGGTATGTGTACCAAGTTTTCTGGTAGGACTGACAGGGCTTTCTGGATATCGATACATGCATTTCTCTGAATGCAGAATAAATATAGAATAAATATAGTTCCCCACCAGAAGAAAACCAATCCAGTATATTCTGCTGGTTCTGGGGGGTATGTGTGCCAAGTTTGGTCCAGATCCATTCTTGGTGGGTTTCAGTGTGCTGTGGATGCAGAGATAACTCTGACCCCATCATACCTGGGGGCCACAGTGGTCTGTGGGAGCTGAACCTGGCGAAGCTACTGCAAATCCCATCACCCGTGGTCCATCTTCACCCCAAACCACTGCAGCATGAAATGTGGGTAATGCAAGGTCTGTGTGCCAAGTGTGGTCTAGGTCCGTCATTTGTGGGGATTGCAGTAGTCTGTGGAAACAGGAATATTTTGAACCAGATTGTGAACCTGAATCCCATCATTCTCATCAGAGGCACTGTGTGATTCCAGCTGTGTCACAACAGGTAATGCGAGGTCTGTGTGCCAAGTTTGGTCCAGATCCATCAT